GCATAAAAATATGAAATACAATTGTTCCATGAAAGTTAAAGCAAATATTGGAATTAGTTCAAAATTTAGAAAGATGGAAACAAGAACAGTGAAAGAAGAGAAATTAGTTGAAATGGCAGAGCTGTGAAAAGCACATAAGAGTAAGTTCAAAGCCAAAAAAAACCAAAAGCTTGTCAAAATCACTACCAAATTCCCCCATTTTCTAAGCATTCTTCATAATCTCTCCATCAAACAAGAAAAAAAAAAGAACAGAGCATTACCTTCCCTAGAAGAGGCACAAAAGCAAAAGAAAATCACAGATGGGTTTCATTTCTGCCATTTCTTTAATGCAGATCTGCCATCCATGTCGTTAAATGCTCCATTAATTTCTTCTTCATTTCTTAGTTTCCAAGTCTCTATAAGTTCTCTTCACTCTATATTCGTTTCTTCCTTTCCTCACACTCCCTCTTCTTCCCTTTATTAATGGGATTCTCCTCTGTCGTTTGAGCTTTGTCCGCCATTTCAGCCAGTTTTTGGGGATGGGTTTTCGTGTTTGGCTCGTGGGGTTTTGTTTTTGGGTCTGTTTCTTGTTTTGTGGCTCTGTGAACTCCAAGGGTTTGGGTTTAGAAGAAGATGGGTTTGTGCGAGGGAGGGTTTTGATTGATGGGAAATCCGCCATTGGAGGTATCGATGAAGATTTCGTTTGTGCTACACTTGATTGGTGGCCTCCTGAGAAATGCGATTATGGAACCTGCAGCTGGGGACGAGCTTCTCTGCTCAATCTGGTAACCTTTTCAAAAACTTCTAATGATTTTCAAGCTCATTCATATCGATCTACGTCTGTTCTTATGAAAGGCTGATGTCTTTTGGTGGTGGTACTTTCAAGTTTTGGCATCTGGGTGTTCATTATTTGTGAATTTATTGCATATGAAAAGTGGAAGTTCTTTGATGTTCTTGCATTTCGTGTATCATTCTTATAAGGTCCTGACTATTTAATGTCTTCCTATGATCTATTAGAGCTGTACTTAAAATATTTAAGTTCCTGTTGTTTGTCTTTCAATTGCAGGATCTAGGCAACAACGTTCTATTAAATGCAGTCAAAGGTTTGGATTTTTTTATGCCTAATAAGTCTAGATGGACTACAAAGATCTATGCTTATATAATCTATGTCGATTCGTACGTTTACGAGTTCGACAAGTTAAAATTTAACATTCTAATATAAAAGGTAGGTTTCACTGGTCCTATTCGGACACGGATTCTACTAAGTAACTCAAGTCTTCTCGAACTAGAACTAATAGCTTTTCATGAATGGTGCAGAATTTAAACCCCTCAAGCTTAGATTGGGTGGTACTTTGCAAGATAAGATCATATATGAAACTGAAGATCACCAGCAGTCATGCGTTTATTTATCAAGAAACACCACAGAATTATTTGGTTACAGTCAAGGTTGCTTACCCACTAAAAGATGGGATGAACTGAATGAGTTCTTCAAGAAAGGAGGGTAATGAAAGTTTCATCCTATTTTGCTCTTATAATGTTGGATTTCACAAAAGTTGAATGCTGAAGTTATTTGAGTCGATCCAGAGTGAAGGTTATCTTTGGATTAAACGCTCTCAATGGACGACAAATTGCGTCGGATGGGTCTGCTGTAGGAGCTTGGGATCACACGAATGCTGAATCGTTCATACGCTATACTGTTAAAAAGAACTACACAATTCATGGTTGGGAGCTTGGTAAGAACTGCTACTTGTTTTCTTGATGCTTGATATCATATCCTAGTAGATATTGTCATCTTTGGGCTTTCCCTTTCGGGCTTCCCCTCAAGGTTTTTAAAACGAGTCTGCTAGGGGAAGGTTTCCACATGCTTATAAAAGGTGTTTCGTTCTCCTCCCCAACCAAGGTGGGATTGTGAGATCTCACAATCCACCCCCATTCAGGGCCAAATGTCCTCCCCAACCAATGTGGAATTGTGGGATCTCACAATCCACCCCCATTTAGGGCCAAACGTCCTCGTTGACACTCGTTCCTTTCTCCAATCGGGACCCACCAGATCCACCCCCTTTCGGGTCCCAACGTCCTTAATGGCACACCACCTCATGTCTACTACCCCCCTTCAGGGAATAGCCTCCTTGTTGGCACATTGCCCGAGCTCTGATACCATTTGTAACGACCCAAACCCACCGCTAACAGATACTGTCCTCTTTGGGCTTTCCCTTTCGGGCTTCTCCTCAAGGTTTTTACAACGAGTCTGCTAGGGGAAGGTTTTTGCATCCTTATAAAAAGGTGTTTCATTCTCCTCCCCAACCAATGTGGGATTGTGGGATCTCACAATCCACCCCCATTCAGGGCCAAACGTCCTCGTTGACACTCATTCCTTTCTCCAATCGAGACCCACCAGATCCACCCCCTTTTGGGACCCAACGTCCTTATTGGCACACCATCTCATGTCTATTACCCCCCTAATGGGAATAGCCTCCTCGTTGGCACATCGCCCGGTGTCTGACTCTGATACCATTTGTAACAATCCAAGCCCACCGCTAGCAGATACTGTCCTCTTTGGGCTTTCCCTTTCGGGCTTCCCCTTAAGGTTTTTAAAACGCGTTTGCTAGGGGTAGGTTTCCACACCCTTATAAAGGGTGTTTCGTTCTCTTCTCCAACCAACGTGGGATTGTGGGATCGTGGGATCTCACATAGACAAAAATAGAGAATTGGAATTTTGTTAGTTCTATCTCATATAACTCATAAGGATTCATATGTTCTAATTTATGATTGATTATCCATTTCCTTATGCTTAGGAAATGAATTGAGTGGGAATGGAGTTGGAACAAGAGTCACCGCAGAGCAGTATGCGTCTGATACAATTGCTCTTCAGAACATGGTCCAAAGTATCTACAAGGATATTGAATATAAGCCGTTAATCATATCTCCCGGAGGATTCTTTGATGAAAATTGGTTCAAGGAATTCATTGACAAAACAACCCAATCACTAGATGTTGTCACACACCATATATACAATCTAGGTTCAGGTATCATCCATTGGCCAAATAAGAGTTTTACGAAGTTTCATGTCCAAAGTGCGTTCACACTGAACCTATATCTTGTCAACAGGAGTCGATGAGCATCTCGTCGAAAGGATTCTTGACCCATCCTATCTCGACGGTATGGCCGATACATTCTACAAGCTCCATGAGATCCTAAGAAACTCGCCTACTTCAGCTAAAGCATGGGTTGGGGAAGCTGGAGGGGCTTACAACAGTGGCCATAATCTGGTCACAAATGCATTCGTCTTTAGTTTCTGGTAATCTAGATTCTGGAAAAAACATCCATGTGTGGTTTTTTTAAGACCTTTTCATTCTAAATAGGTCTTTTATGTGTGTACTTTTTCAGGTACTTGGACCAGCTGGGTATGTCGGCCGCCTTCGATACGAAAACGTACTGCAGGCAAACCTTGATCGGTGGAAACTATGGTTTACTGAACACGACCACCTTCGAACCAAATCCAGACTATTACAGGTGAGTACTATTGGGATTTCTCTACTGAAAGTTGCTTCAACCAGAAGCAATATTTCCGACGTTAAACGCTTCATTTCTTCCCCGTTGCTATTAGGCAATTATCCTAACGATTAGCATTGCCTGTTTCGTTTTCTTTCTTCATTTCAGTGCACTCCTATGGCATCGCTTGATGGGAAGAAATGTTCTGTCCACAAGCTTTAACGGGACGAAGAAAATACGAGCGTATGCACATTGTTCTAAGCAGTCTGTAAGTAGAAATCCATATAACCGAATGCAAAAACAAGAAAATGAGTAAATGAACCGAGTTTCTCGACTCTTATTCAACTTTTCAATCTTACAGAAAGGATTCACGTTATTACTGCTCAACCTAGACAGTAATACCACAGTTCATGCTGCAATTTCATACAACAGAACGAGACGGTTGCACCATAAACATAGATCCTATAACCATAAACCGAAGGTCATTCGAATACCTCGACCTCATGGTATTGAAGGCGAAGCATTCAGAGAGGAATATCATCTAACAGCTAAGGATGGGAACCTGCATTGTCAAACTATGCTGCTAAATGGAAAGATTTTGTCTGTAAACTCATCAGGGAACATACCTTCATTGGAACCTCAGTATGTAAATTCATCTGAACCAATAATGGTGGCTCCCTTTTCAATTGTATTCATTCACATGCCAAATATTGTTCTCCCTGCTTGCAGATAGAATAGAAGGCGATGTATGGAACTGAAAATCAGTTTCAGATTGGTGATTTTCTAATAAGAGAACAATTGTCATATTTAGTTAACTTTTTTCGAGGTGAACAAATACATTTACTAATGGAAAATCATCCCGTTGGTAGCATGATAAGCCGAAGATACAAACAGGTCAGTTTTGGGGCGGGGAATAATCCACCTTTTGTGAGATTATTCCGGCCTTGACAGAGAGTAATTTTCATTGAAAGCGATTCTTTTGCCGTTCTTACGAATCCCTAGTTTCCACTAGTAAATCAAGAAGATGGTCAGACTCTCGGAGAAGAAAAGGTTGACGGTTAGAAGAAATAGCGAAGGCCTCCGAATATTGGAATTCCATCTTTTGTTTGACGAGATTTTTGGGGTTGCTGAATTTTTTCCATTCTTACCGAAATCAAAGCCATGCAAGAACTACTTTTTCTATTGTAATTTTTTTTTGTAGGAGGAGATAGAGTTGATGGCTCGTATTGGACTTTTCCTCAAGAACTTCATGGAAAATTTTGATGATGTGCTAAGAAGCCCACGAATACGAATGGAATATAAACGTGGTATTGAATAAAAAGGTTGCCGACTTAAAACTCCAAGATGAGTTGAATCAAGAAGAAAGTCAGCGAAAGCAACTCCTACATTCCCGAGTATTGCTTCGATAGTGTTCGTAATGCCTGGAAGATAGTTTTGAAGATAAGACTTGCTAAGATCGATCTTAGGACATTATAGAGTTTACTTACAAAAAATAACAGTATCTTGATGAGTACAGTAGAGTCCGACAAAAAAGAGAGAATTCTATGGGTACCTTATGAAAAATAGGAAATTCAATCCAAACACTTCGAAAAACAAACCAAGAATCGAAAGTGTCCACGTGAGACTGTCATCAGATAACGCAAAACTAGAGAGGGCCAAGTCACTGGTTAATATTCCTACACCTTCCAGGGAGGCAATCCTAAATCAACAGAGAACAAAGTCATGCAAACTGCAGGGAACACAAAGGCAATTGTTGGGGAAATCTTTCTTACCTACATGGAGGAAAACAGAAGAGGATCACACAAATTATGAATGGAATGCTTCTTGAAAAGAAACTGTTGGAGTGTCATCTTTCCACACTGTGGCCAACTGCGATGCAATGCTCGTCACTCAAAAAATTCATTCAAATAGAGTAATGCTGGTAGAATGAAGCTTCGATCTCGCCATCCGCTCCACTAAGAGTTCCTAATCGAGAGAGATGATCCTTTTCTTCGTTAAAGAAGTTCTATAGATGGCAATCATTGGATTAAACGCCTACTTTTTTGAGAGAATGCCGCTGCTCGATGACAAAGAAAAGAGAGTGCTCGACTGGAACAACGGCCAAAAAAGATGGTTCGGGGTTCAAGCGCTTCAAACTCAAACTCTTACCCTCGCGACCACCAGCTTTCCCAAAATCAGGGGAGATCCACTGCAGCAAGAATCCTACCAAGACCTTCGAGATACAGAGCGCCATGATTGAAGCCCGGGGTGAGAGGATAGAATCCTAAATTTAAATGGTTTCTAGTTGTAAGAAAGAGGATAAATTATCAACAGCTGCTATGAACCACGATGAAACCATATCCAAATTTTAAAAAGTGAAAAACAAAGAATAAAATCATCATCAAAAAGTTAAGGAAACAAGTCATCTCGAACAAACACTTCAAAATTTCTATCACAAAATCTATTTATAGGAAACCTATGAAGAATCCCTGCTGCAAAATGGTTGATAGTTCTTAATATTCAGCCAATGAATTCAATGATCAAGTAAAACACCAGAAAACAATGGGTTCACTAAAGAAACAATAAACCAGCTAACAATGATAGTTAAATACTGACCTCCCTCCAAAGATCTTGGCAAGCCACCGACCAGGCAACTGGCACAAGGCATAACCAATCCAGCCACAGAAGAATTCCACCCAAACAGGCGCGACATTGGAATTCTAGCAACCAATGATCTAACAACAAAAAAAATCCCAAACACACACAAAAACATCTCAAACCAGAACAAATCATAACGAAAGTCAAAACCCATCAACATTTCATTCGATCAAATCCAAAACTCACAAAAAAAACAGAGGAACAAACCTTATACATGTTGCAAATAATGAAGGCAAGCGCTGGGGTTCCGATCAATTTATATCTATCAGGAACATTCTTCCGCGGCGGCCAATTCGAATCAAACCCCACTTCATCCAATCCATTTCCATAGCTCGAGTCGTTTTGAGATTTCGTAATGGACCCAATTCGGCCCGATTCATCGACGCGGAGACGGAAAAGAACAGGGGAAATCTCTTCGTTGACCTTGACATTTTCTCTCTCCTTGGTGCCACTGTGAACTCAGATGGTTAATCGAAGGAGATGGGAATGAGAAATCAAGCGAATGATAGGAGAAAGGGGTTATTATGGGGTCGAACTGAGAATTCCGCCATTGAGGTTTCGAGTTTTGGGGTGAAGTGTTGTTATTATGGGGTCTATTGTTTTAGCGGGAAGAGCTAGAAGGAAAGACGTGGGTTGAAGGAGCGGCGATGGTTGGGGGTGGGAGGGGGTTGACCGGGCCACGTAAGTCTGCCGACTTTGAGCCTGCCATTTGTCCCAATTATGCACACTTATTGGAGGGCTCAGCTCATGAACGTACACTCATAATTCTCCAATTGAGTCGTCGAACATGAAATGAAATCTTTAGAATATACAAATTACTTTCGATCAATTTTGTTTACAATTAGACTCGTATGAATTATATACTAACCGTGTTATAGTCTTATTGTTTGCTAGCATATAACATCTACTTTTTAAAAAATGATTACCAAATAGCTTGCTAAAATTGTCTAACCATGTTTCCTAAAAAAAATTTCAAAAAACAGATCTGTGATGGGTCATTTGTGCTACTAGTAATCCAAGGTTGAGTTGACTATCTTACTCAAGAACATTCGATTAATATTAAATTTAGTAAAAATAAATGAACGAAAAATGTATCATTGAAGTGGAGGAGACAAATTTTGCAGCCTGATGGCTTTGATTAGAAGTGCAAGCATAGAGAAGACCTATAGAAATCAATAGCGATGCAAAGAAGGCTAGAAGGACTAAAGTAGGACGGTAGAAGTTAACCGATCAAGTTTATTTGATACAACTATTGAATATCCCGCATTCAAGTGATACAAACCCACAAAATGATTGAGAACTAGGACAAACTTGAACTCAATACATTCCTGAAAAACTCTACAATAATTTGTATAACCGATTGCGGGTTGACCATGTTACAAGAGGCAGGAGCCAACCAAAGAAGGTCAGTTGGACTCAATTAGGACCCTTGATCCGGTTCAACTAGGTTCTTCCATGCGAGAATTGTATGCACCCCTTTCTCCTCGAATGTGGGTTGATCGCATTACAAGAGGCGGGAACCAGTAAAAGTAAGGTCAGTCGGACTCGATTAGGACCCTTGATCTGATTCAATTAGATTCCTCCATGCGCCCCCTTTCTCCTCGACACAAAATGGAGGATTTCTATTGTCTTGAGAACCATAAAGAAGAAAGAACCCAAATTCTTCCAACTCAAATCCAGAAGATATTCTTACCTCCATGTCTAATCCAGAATTTATTCCTACTATGACTTCTAACTCATCCTGTTCCATCTCCTAGTGTTAATAAAAGCTCCTTACCTAGATTGCACCTAAATTACTCACCATTCTCCCTGCAGCAGTTTTATATCAGTTCATATCAGTCATCGAATTTAGGAAGAGTTTGCTTACAACCAACCGTGCTGTCGACATGGCTGATTCGGTAGGCGTCTAGACGACCTTGGCTAAAACAAATGTACATCACCAGCAAACCTAAAACAAGCGAAGAAATGTAGTGGCTGAACGATACGCCGAACTCCTGAAAAAACACCCAAATACAACAGAAATAACTAGATTTTCTATGGTTGTGGAAAATGAGGGAATGATATAAAGCTAATATCAGAGAGAATTAAGCAGACTGCATTTCTAAGATGGCATTGCATTCAATTAAAGACAGTCAAATAGCAAGAGAAGGATGGTAGTTTATCCAGATAGATGATGTTCACCAACGAACCCGCTCGCTTATGAACACTACTTCTACCTATTTTTTAAAAAAACCGAGCAAAATTTTGAAAACATAAAATAGTTTCTATTGAGGATTCTCTAAGTGAAAACTTTAAGAACAATGAAAACAAGCACAGATAATCAATGCAGCTCTCTGCCTAAATAAGGAAGTAAATTTATGCACTACTTACAGAGTAAGAAGTGAAAGGGAAGGTCAATTCTTAACGAAGATCACGAGAATCAGAGAAGCTTAGAGCAGCAGTGCCGATCTGATATGGCATTATCTTTAAATCTTCCTGTGCGTCTATGATGTCATTTGTATTCTCAAAAAGTTGCTTCCGAAGAACGTCGTGCAAACGGCCAAAGAGTTGCTTCTTCAATGCTTCAAAAGCCAAGTCCAACCGCTCGAGTTGCTCCATGGAATTTGCATTGTACATAAACAGACCATAGTAAAGATCAAAGCTATCTCCAGAAGTGTTCGCCACCAAGTCCAACAAGGTATTATAACCTTTGGTGTTAATTGGTGTAGAGCTCAAACTCAACTTTTCTAAAACTCTCCCCATTGTATGGGTAATGAACTGTGACCCTGCTGCATGCCGGTCGTGATCGTAGCACGACATTTCCACCATTCGGCACCCTTCACTCGAAAATATATCAAGAAAGCAGTTGCAACGGAACGCTCTCGATTCCTCATTTCCTATTCGAACCTTATCATAAACAAAGGAAAGATCGTTCCACCCGTTCTTACCACTCTCTGGCCCGAACATAGGATGTGTGCAGAGGATGTCGAAGTCCGGGGGTAAAATTTGAAGAAACAAATTTCTTGGAAATTCTTTCACGGAAAGTACGTCGACAAACAAAGTGTTTCGTTTCAATCTCCGAAAAGGTAATGATCTGAGAACTTTCTCTGTTGAAAGAATGGAAGTGCATAGAAGAACTACTTCTGGGTGTTCTTCACATAGATCATCCATATCAGAAAAGTAAGAGATGCCCATCTCTTCTGCTACGTCTGAGTAGTCCGACCTCGAGTAGGCTAACACAGTGTGACCTTGTTTTACTATCGTCTTGGCAAGAAATTGACCGAAGTTACCAAATCCAACAACAGCAATTTTGAGCTTTGAATTTTCCTCAAGTTTTGTGGCTTTGATGTCATAAGTTGGAGGAAGGTCCTGAAACCTGAAGAAATATAGAGAGGGTTTATTCTTCTGAAGCTTCACTTACAAGGAACAGCACAAAATTTTTTCTATGCCTAACCCTTTATGAACAAATCACAATTCAAACCAATCAGGATGTAAACATCACATAATATTCAGGAAATTAACGTGGATCGAAACGATTAGCGTGTTCAAACTATTTTACTAACATGAACATCTTTGTAAGAAATTGATTTCTAACTCTCCCTACCAAACCAACCCACCATTGATCCACACAAAAAGAAAGACGACCCAAAAGTTTAATGTGAATATTGTGTTAGGAATCACGGATCTCCACAATGGTATTATGATATTGTCCACTTTGAGCATAAGCTCTAATGGCTTTGCTTTGGGCTTCCCCAAAATGTCTCATACCAATGAAGATGTGTTCCTTACTTACAAACCCATGATCGGAAATTAGCCAATATGGGTCTCCCTCCCAACAATCCTTAACAATCCTCCCCTTGAACAAAGTACACTATAGAGCTTCCTCCTGAGGTCTACATAGCCTTTGAACAACCTCTCCTTAATCGAGGCTCTACTTCTTTCTCTGGAGCCCTCAAACAAAGTACACCCTTTGTTTAACACATGAGTCACTTCTGACTACACCTTCGAGACTAGCAAGTTCTTTGTCCGACACTTGAGGATTCTATTGACATGGCTAAGTCAAGGGCTTGGCTTTGATACTATGTTAGGAATCACAGATCTCCACAATGGTATGATATTGTCCACTTTGAGCATAAGCTCTCATGGCTTTCCTTTGGGCTTCCCCAAATGACCTTATACCAATGGAGATGTATTCCTTACTTATAAACCCACGATCATTCCCTAAATTAGCCAAGGTGGAACTCCCTCCCAACAATCCTCAAACATATTGCACAGCAAATAAAGCACCAACATACAACACCATTGAGATGTTTGAACCAAAGAACAAAAGCATAATCTAAGCATCATTGAAAGGAAAGACTATGGGACCTTGCCTGGTAGCTTCCAGATAAGATGTCAGTGCAAAAGAAGCCCCATTTTGAGGAGGATTTTCAGGCAATGTTTGCAATTTTTCACCGTTTCCAAACAATTGCTTCCTTACCATATCATGCAATCGCCCAAAAAGCTGTTGTTTCAAAGCTCCAAAAGCCAAATCCAATCTCTCGATCATCTCCATCGCGTTCTTATTATACATAAACAAACCATAATACAAATCGAAACTATCTGCAGCAGTGTTCTTCACCAAATCCAACAAAGTTTCATACCCTTTAGTATTAATCGGTGTAGATTCCAACATCAACATATTCAAAACTCTCCCAACCGTATGAGTAATGAATTGCGATTCAGCCGCATATCTATCATGATCCACACAGCTCATTTCCACCATTCTGCAACCCTCTCTCTCAAAAATACTCAAAAATTTCTCACAGCGTGAAACCCTAGATTCATCCGACCCAATTCGAACCTTCTCGTAAACGAAGAACAGCTCATTCCACCCTTTCGCAGCGCTTTCAGGGCCAAACATTGGGTGAGAACAAATTATATCAAAATCCGGAGGCAATAGCTCCAGCATTAAGCTTTTCGGGAACTCCTTCACCGAAAGCACATCTACTACCAATGTATTCCTCTTCAATCTCTGCAATGGCAACGATCGGAGAACACTCTCAGTTGAAATTATCGACGTACAGAGCAAAATCACCTCTGGGTGTTCTTCAGCAAGGTCATCCGGGTCGGAAAAAAACGAAACCCCGAGCTTACGAGCCGCATCGGAGTGGTCAACTCGGGAATGAGACAAGACGGTATGACCTTGCCGGACGATTGTTTTAGCGAGAAATTGACCGAAGTTACCAAACCCAACGATGGCGATTTTGAGCTTCTCGGAGTTGTGAAAACGGGATGCCATTCTGGATTCGTAGTCGTAAGGTTGCGCAGCATCAATGGCGCGAATTCGAAGAAGGGGTTTGGGAAAGAACTGAAAACAGGGGAGAATCGGAAGGGGCTTGGGATTATAGAGACGGTGGTGAGAGAACAAAGGTAAAGAAGGTACGGCCGGAGAGGTGTCGGAGAGAAGACGGCAACAGCATAGGTGGCGAAATTGCTCCGGTCCGCCGCCGTAACGGAGGGGATTAAGATAAATGAAAAGTGCAGGGCCACGAACGGGATTTACAGGATCTCAAGAATGCGTGCTGTCCCGAAGATTCAGGTTCCTTGTGTGGCTCGTTTTCTTCTTTTGGCATTTCTTTAATGGCTCACGTTGTTTCTGAAGCTTTCTGTCCATTTTCAAAATGTGTTGGCTAAAAGTTACATTTATCAAATTCTAAATCAATAGAAAACTTTAATATACACCTCTAATAATGGTCTCGAAACACGAAGTTATGTTATGGAGATGGTAGCAACTTTAGGATGTCACGATCATGCTTATTTAAAACTTGTGATCGATATGAAATGTCTCAAAATATACTATTAGAGAAATCAAGTACGAAGTGTGATGTCACGATCATGCTTGTTTAGGACTTGTGGTACGAAGTGTGTGGTATCACTATCATGCTTGTTTAGAGCTTGTAGCCGACATGAAATGTCTCAAAATGTACTATAGGGAGGTAAGTACGAAGTGTGGTGTTACTATCATAATTGTTTAGGGCTTCTGACCAACATAAAATGCCTTCAAATGTACTATAGGGAAGTCAAGACGAAGTGTGGTATCAGCATCATGCTTGTTTAGGGTAGGGAGGCCAAGTAGTCATAAAACCTCTTCGACCCACTTTTGTAAACTCTCTTGTATACATATTTTCAATGCAATTGACATTTACATCTTGCTTTCTCGACATGTTTTATAAAATATTTTCTCTCAAAACATAAATCAAGGCTTAAAACTGCGTCAAAATTGTCCATACAAACCGTTTATCATACGGCACCTATTCACTAAGTTAGAAAGTGTCGCACGATAGCTGTCCCACTACTAAAGATCGAAACTTTTGGAGTTTATTACTAAGAAGAGCGCTTTCTCAATTAGAAGAGTTTATAACTAAAAATATGGAGTATTGGAGATTTTTACCAAGTTTTTATGATGTGTTGTTCTAACAGTTCCTGTGATAGTGATTGTTGATCACTTGCCTTTTCTATATGTTTGGTGATCCACTAGAAGAATTTTTTCTTCAGATGAAATTTGATTCTTAACCTTTTCCATCTGCTCTTCTCTAGCAATGGATGCAAACTCAGAATGTAATCCGGCATGAAGTCGTGCCGAGTCAATATACCGACCACAGGCGATCTCTGCAATAAGGTGAACACGTTAGCCAAACGTTCTAAAACTCAAAACTTTAAGAACAATGAATAAAAACTTATGAAACTCGTGTCGACGACATCCAATGCTACTTCGTGTTGTTCCTTAGGTGCAAAGAAATAACGAGACTCATCATCAAAAGATACGTGAAAGTCACTCACCCCGGGGGCCTTAGGTATCACTAGCATATGTCTTAAACTAGTTTCTCGAAAAATTGCAAAAGCCTTTGCTAACGACATCGTCTCCAAGACAGTACAAGGCGAGGTATTAGCGAATGGATGTAGATCGATGAACATCTCCATCTCTTCATCAGTCAACTGAATATCTTCAATCCGATTGACATCACCCGAACCCATCATTGCAAAATCATCAGCTGATAATAGCTTTAAGGCATCCTTTCTGTCTGATTCTAGTGTTGGAACCGACAAGAAAGCTTTCTTCTTTAACAACACGATGAGATGAGCTCTGAGAATTAGACCATATAAAACAGGGAATTCCGAGAAAGGAGGCTCGTCGACGACGGGAAATCCGTGATGGCTCGTCCATTTGAGAACGTTTACTACGTTACGAACCTTCTCGATGCCACAAAATAATTGAAGTGGACTTGTTAACACACTGGCAACAGTCAGCTGCCTCATGTATGGCTCAACATGGCCTTCTAGATAAGGGAACCCCTTGGCTTTCATGATCTGGTTGTAAATATTACAGTTGAAAGCATCAGCCACAGTCTTGGAAATAAGGAGAACCAACATTACTAAAGGCAGCAACAACAAATTATTGGTCAATTCGAGCATAATAACACATAAAGAAACGGTCGTCCTCATCGACCCCCCGAGAAACGAAGCAGCACCCAATATGGCAAAGAAGCCATGGCTAAGGTTCGTGTATGGACCGACAACCATTCCAACGAAACGACCATAAGAAGCTCCTGTCACAATAACAGGAACAAACAGGCCAACCGGAGCAACCGTACCGTAACTAAGAACGCTCAACGAAAAACATGTAACGAAAAATGTGAGCATTGATGAGAATTGAAACTCAGATTCTGTGCCTTTGCTAAAGAGGTTCTTTATGGCATCATCATTGGTGTTAAATATGAGACTTGCAAGATCATTGTAGTGATCGGGAGAACACTGAAACTTCTTGAAGTTACCCGATCGACCTATCGTAGGACAGATTTCTCGAGCACTTGATGGGCAAGGTTGGCACGATGCGAACCACGGTAATCCGAAAAGAAGACATGACGTGAAAATCGAGACAGAGCAAGCCAGTAAAACTTTGTAAACAATGCCTTTCCTGGAGAGAAACAAACGGAGCACAATGAGAATCAAAACTCAAAAAACTTCGTAGCATTTACGAACAATAAAGAAAGAACTCACTCGTGTATGAGATTGTAAACACGAAGAACTTTGGTTAAAAGAAAATTATAAAAGCTTCCAAGAATGCCTCCAATGAAAGCAAGGGAAAGCACAGGAGGTAGATCTTTGAGGTGATATGAGGGAAAGTCTGAGTAGGTATCAAATATTATGAGTCCCCCTTTACCAAACAATCCACATAATCCATTTAAGCAAACATCGATCAGTGAGCGTAATATGACAGCAACGATAGCCGTCGTGAAAAATGCTCGCCACAGAAGGGCGCTTCTCCACCTGTGACGATGGTAAACGTCAGAAGGTCGTTCGTTCAAATATGCTAACACAGCATTCACAGCTCCTAAGATTCCGAACGAACGCAGCTCGAATCAAATAATGATGCGAAAACAGACTAGAAAACGAAAAATATATGCAGCCCATGGCTACATACCCAGTTATTAAACATACCATGATGCCATCTCTTCAAAAGCAAACAACACGCCACCAACGGGAGCACGAAAAGCAGCAGCGATTCCAGCAGCAGCACCACATGTTACAAGATCCCGCCTATCTCGATCCTTCTTGAGATGGTATAGCCATCTCCAAGTTAAACCAAATACTTTGAAACACCCCTGACCTACCAAGGATGCAACACATGCCCCTGTATGAACCATAGGCCCAGCTTTTCCAACGACCATAGACGACGACACGATAGCAATGCTGCCAATAATCTGGCAATCAAACCATATTCATGAGACTCTAGCTTCAAGAGGAAGGACGTAACAACCCAAACCCACCGCTAGCAGATATTGTCCGTTTTGGCCCGTTACGTATCTCCGTCAGCCTCACAATTTTAAAACATGTCTCCTAGAGAGAAGTTTCAACACCCTCACAAGGAATGTTTCGTTTCCTTCTCCAACCGATATGAGATCTCACAATCCACCCCCCTTGGGGGGCCAGCGTCCTCACTGACTAGTGTCTGGCTCTGATACCAACTGTAACAGCCCAAACCCACCGCTAACAAATATTGTCCTCTTTAGGCTTTTCCTTTCAGGCTTCCCCTCAAGATTTTTAAAATGTGTTTGCTAAGGAGAGGTTTCCACACTTTTACAAAGAATGCTTCGTTCCCTTCTCCAACCAGTCACAACAAAATGCTCTAAACCCAGAGATGTAACTACCTATGCTCTACACTTTATTGATGTATCATAGACTCTATTCCAAAAAATTTTGCAAAAGAGAAACCATCCTAAATTACTCGACTCTTTGTTAAAGGGTCGCTAAGAGTAACTTCAGACGTTACTAAATGACGATGTATTCTAAAACGGCAACAAAATCAAGAATTCATATCAACCGAACATGTAATCTTACTTGATGGAAATGAAAAGGGGCATCACACTTTACTACACGCTTCAAACAAAGGAGCAACTCTACAACTAAAAAGTACAATAGCTGAAGGAACACTCGATTTGTCTTAACCAGGCACTACACCTCAAAGCATAATTCAATCTAAAAGGAACAAGTTGTTCGTTCCGTCGACGACCCTATCTATGTTTCTACGATGACAGTAAGAAATCGAGGTTATAGATATCTGAAACACAACGATAAATGTTCAAACAACTGTTTTACCTTCACTAACAATGTCCTAGGCGATAATATTCCAGGGGCGTCCACACCATTCAGATAAGCCTTTACTTCTGGTATACCTGAGCCGGCTGCTAGAGGGCAGATCAGTGCCGTAATGACAGATGCGAATAGGGTGAGAAGTAGATTTGAAACAGAGAAAACAAGAAAAGCCATCCAATACCTGAAAGAACTTTCAGACTTCCATCAATATACCTTGGAAAATGGTTATGAGTTTTTGTAACAACCCAAACTCAAGCCCACCGCTAGCAGATATTGTCCGCTTTGGCCAATTACGTATCGCTGTCAGCCTCACATTTTTAAAACACGTATGCTAGGGAGAGGTTTACTCTCCAACCAATGTGGGATCTCACAATCCACCCTCCTTAGGAGCCCAGCGTCCTCGCTAGGCTCTAATACCATTTGTAACAGCCCAAGCTCGCTGCTAATAGATATTATTCGTTTTGGCCCGTTACGTATCGCTGTCAGCCTCACAATTTTAAAACGCATATGCTAGCGAGAGATTTCCACACTCTTATAAGGAATTCTTCATTCCCCTCTCCAACCAATGTGGGATCTCACAATCCATCCCCATTGGGGGCTTAATGTCCTCGCTAACACACCGCTCAGTATCTGGCTCTAATACTATTTATAAAAGTCTAAACCCACCGCTAGCAGATATTGGCCGTTTTGGCCCGTTACATATTATCATCAGCCTCACAGTTTTAAAACACATTTGCTCGGGAGAGGTTTCCACACCCTTATAAGGAATGTTTTTGTTCCCCTCTCCAACCAATATGAGATCTCATAATCCACCTCTCTTGAGGGCCAGCGTCCTCGCTGGCACACCACTCAGTGTCTAGCTCTAATATCATTTGTAACAGCTCAAGCCTACCGTTAGCAGATATTGTCTGCTTTGGCCCCAAGGCAGGGCATCCAACATCAACTCAGTCAACCTCAATGTTTTAAAACGCATCTGCTAGGAAAAGGTTTCCACACCCTTATAAGAAATGCTTCGATCCCCTC